GTGTGTGTGTGTAATTTCCTCTGTAGAGCCATGTCAGATTTCAGTTGTACCCAGACATAAGAAGAGAACGCCTGGAAGGTCTACACAAATATGTCAAGCTCCTCACAAGTAAACATCACTAACACTGTGCCTCCAGGGGCTTGGGAGATATCTCAGTCAGTAAAGTGCTTGCCCTACAAGCATGAGGACCTGAGTATGATCCCCAGCACCCACATTAAATGTCAGGCATGGTGGCATGGCTTATCATTCCAGTACTGGGGAGGCAGAGACAGGATGATTCCTGGGGCTTGATGGCTGGCCACCCTAGGTACCTAGACTCTGTCTCCAAAAAAAATGTGCTGTGCAGCTCCTGAGGAACAACCCCAAGGTTGACCTCTGTCTTCCATATGCATGGGCCCACATGTGCATATGCACACACACTCATACATGTACCCACACATGAAAATACACACACATAAATACATTTGAATAATAAAATAAAACTGTGGAGCAGTGCAGATGGCTCAGACAGTAAAGTACCCGCTACACAAGGATGAGGACCTGAGTTCAGATCTCCAGAACCCTGCAAATGAATTTGGATGTGGTCAAGCATCTGTGTCCCCAACCAGTGGCCATGGAAACAGGAGGATCCCCAGAGATCACTGACAAGCCAGTCTAGACAGTCAATGAGTACTGGGTTCAGTGAGAGATGCCGTCTTAAAACATGAGGCAGAGAGTGATTGAAGAAAACACCAACGTTAATCTCTAGCCTCAACATACACTCATGTTCACACACATACACTATGCACACACTTAAATAAAATAAAACTGTGGCACAAGCATTCCATTTTGACTTTTCATTCCTTCATTTATCAAGAGGTAGTTAATGAACAAGTCCTGTAAGCCACCCATCCTGCATACCTAGGAACAGACAAAGAGAAGAAGAGTGGAAGAAAACAGCTTCTGTCTTCACGTCATGCCCTCAGGAGAACAATAATGAAAGAGTTTACTCCATGACAGTGTAATAAGCCTTTACAAAGAATCAAGAGAAGAAGAGGCAGAAAGAAGAGGTCAAGGGGCTAGAGAGATGGCTCAGTGTTAAGAGCACTTACTGTTCTTGCAGAGGACCTGGATTCAGTTCCCAGTAACCACACGACAGCTAACATTTGTCTTTAACTCCAGTTCTAAGGGATCTGACACCCTCCTCTGGCCCCAAGGGCACTGGGTGCACATGGTACACTTATCTACATACAGGTAAAACACTCACACATAAAATAAAAATGAAGGAAAGAAGGAAAGGAAGAAATAAGAAAAGAAGGAAGGAAGGGAGGGAGGGAGGAAGGAAGGATGGATTCTGGCAATTACACCTAGCATAATCATAAACAGTGAGTAGCAGTAGACAAACACTGGCAACAGGAAAGTGTGTACCAGCAGAATGAACAGCATGTAAAACACACTCCAGGAATTGCAAAGTTGAGGATACCTGCAGGATGGTGCTGGTAGGGTAATGACAAGAGATGAGACTACAGAGGCCACCAGGGGGAGGGAGGGCTAAATGATGAAAGCCCTTTGATGACCTTGATTTTTTTCCTTCTGAAATGCAAATTAAAATTACTTATAGATTCCATTCCATCTCACCCCAGTCAGACTATCATAATAAAATAATTAATAATAATAATAATAATAATGGTGATGCTATAGGGAAAAAGGACCCCTTATTCACTTATAGATAAGAGTGTAAACTGGTACAGGACTATGTAAATCAATATGAAGATTTTTCAAAAACTAAAAATAGGGCTACCTTATAACCCAATTATAACACTTCTGGGCATACACCCAAAGCACTCTATACTCTACCATAGATACTTACACATCTGTTTTCTTGCTGCTCTATTTATAATAGACAGGAAATAGAACCAGCCTAGACATCCTTCAACAGGTAAGTGGGTAGAGAAAATGTGCTACATTTACACAATTGACCCAGTCTTAAAGAAAAATGAAATCATGACATTTTCAGGAAATGGATGGAAGTAGAAATTATTATGTTAAGTGAAGTAACCCAGACCCAGAAGACAAATACATTTTCTCTCATAAGGAGATCCTATATTTCAATTTTATATGTGAATATATTTTTGTGGGAGTGGGGGTATGGGTCATGAAACCACAAAGAGGACCATGAGAAGATGAAATGAAATCTCAAGGAGCAAGAGTGTGAGGACAGCACATGTGCCACGAAAGCTGAAGAGGGTTTACTAGGCGAAAGAAAGACCGTCAGGAGGAGGGCAGGGGGACGGGGGCAGTGGGAGAGAAGGTCAGCCCAAAAAAGGTGTAAACCTGCCAATGGAAACTCATTACTATGCTTATTTTTACAGCCTAACAAAAAGTATCCTTCTGTTAAGTTTTCAAAAAGAGGATAAGAACTTAGAAAATTTATCTGGAGGAACCCATCAGAGTCAAAGTTTGCCCATAATGAAGCTCATGTCTCTTAATTTCCAACCAGAAGATACCTTGGAACTCACATCATCTAGCCTTTGTTGTAGAGAAGAGAAAAACTTGTGTTCCAGGGATATAAAGTAGTGCATCCATTGGTTTAAGCAGAATGAAACATCCTGCTCTCTAAACAGTCTTACTAGAACCCACTGCCACCTGCCACTGTGTTAGCATCTCTACACCAGGGATGTGCAAAGTAGTCATTGTCTGTGAGCACAGCTCAGAGCAAATCCTTTTCAATGGTTGAAAATGCTGATCCATTTTAAATGTTGATGGATTCTGTTCTCTGATCATGAGAAACATTTTAACCAGTTCCATACATTTTTTTCATAGTAATTAGAAACCTAAACCCTTTTAAACCAGAGATTATTCTTGAACCTCTAATACTATTTAAATTACAAGTCACAAACCTTGAATGACATAACAGCTACAGACCAAATGCTGCTGCTTTAACTCTGTGCATCCCATGAACATTAATGCAACAGAAGGCAATGCAGAGGCATTAGTGGTATGTTTATGCTGCAGCATTCCACACCCTCAGTCCTCTAGCAAGTAAACAGGCCATGTGTCCTCTCCAGGTACTCTCAAACAAATCCATCAAAAGAGCTGCATGAAATCTACAGAGAACCATCACTCTGTGACCCACCTACCAGTTCCTTCGAACAACCTCTGTTACCAGATCATGCAGACAAGTAAACCCCACATTTACTAACCCAGAGCAAAGAAGTCATCAGCTTATGATTCCTGAAACAAATTTCTCAAATAAGGAGATTTGATAGATTAAAATGTTGTGGACAGATTCAGTCATTATACAGTGGCAACTTAAGGCAATTCTCTTAACCACAAACACATGAAAAACTACTTGTTTCTGGAATGGCAGATAACCACAGCAAAGGACAGTGGTGTCTGGGAGAATCCCAAATCACATGTATGCTGAAAATTAGTTCTGTTCTATAAATAAACATGGAGAAATCAAATACAAAGCAGATCTATAAACACTAGGCAACAATGGTAAAAGATCAACTCTTTCAAAACAAGGATTCTGCAAAGAGTCAGTGAGTGCAGCATCCCAGGTCCCCACAGACATGGCTTCATTCCATCCTCAGACAATCTGCACATCTATTTCCATTTCACTAAGAGGCATACAGGCTCAGAGAGGTGAACATCCACTCATGCTCAACCCGATTGAAAGGGGAACCCATGCTTTTCTGTATTCCTGGCCCCCAACTGTGAGCTGGCTCTAGGCAGAGGGGGGGTTGGAGGTGGGAAGTGGCAGAAATGCATGCAGGTGCATGTTTGGGCAGAGATCACATGGGGGTCCCCAAAGAAGATAAAGAACTCAGGAAGTCACTGAAATCCACCACAAATTGAATAGGAAAAAAAAATCTTTTAAAAGTCATTATCATGATTTTTCTTTTATAATGCTCACTACTAACATTCATTACACATTCTTATTCCAGGAATCCAAAGTACCATCTTCTTTTAGGTATGCTGAATTTTAATATTATTTAAAATCATTGCTAAACATCAATGAAAGAAGACGCTTGTGCTGGATTTCATTGATCAGCCAATGATGGGTCCTGCCTGAGTATTGTAGCCTGTGTTGCTGAGTTTCTGACTTAAAAATAAAGTTAAACTTCCAGGCATAAAGCTATCCAGAAAGCTGTGAAGTGCAAAGAGAAGGCAAGATGTTTCCTGGGTGCTCATTCTAACATGTTCATTGTACGCCAGGGCCTGGGGAAAGCAAGTAGGGAATCTAGAAAGATGCCATCTGTTGTGTGATGCTGCAAGTCACAAACTCCACCCTTAATTTCTACATCACCAGCTGCTGAGCCCCTTTCCTTCTACAGGATAGGGGAGGAATGCCCACCACCTTAACTAAGTATCATTAGCAGAATCTAAGGGTGTGCCTCTTAAGCACTTTGGTAAGCCCAGCATCATAACCTATATACTCTCCAGAATATATACACGATTTCTAGTTATATTTTAAAGTAAGCACCACCTGTGTATACAGCGTCTGCTCTCGGCTCTGAAGCCACAGCCACATCAGAGGAAACCACTGTCTTTTCTGAAACTTTTACTTCATTTAAAAATAACCTCTTTGAAAGAAAGAGCTGAAAATTTAGAAAGCTAGAAAGCTTTCAAACCTGAAAAATGAGTAAAGTCACTTTTCAAGTGAACGAAGGTTCCTTTTCCAGAAAACAATTGAAATACAGGGAAAACATGAGGAAATGTTTCCTCCTGAAATATTCAAAGTCGACTTATGGCCTTTTTAAAAAAGGAGGGCATATTTGAAAATAGCCCTGTTTTCTGAATTATCAACATGAAATATTCTGGCTTTTAAAATAGATTTAACAAATGCAAGACAACCTATATGGGGTTGATTTGAATTCACAAAATAAGTTTATTGCATGTAAGAAAGCATACAAGCAGTAAAATTGAGAAAACATTCACAATACATAAATAACACAGACCTGATGCAGGAGATACTTTTTCAGCAGATTTTTTTCTTTTTTATCAATTTCATCCACGTGTTAAGTCAATTGTTCATCAAGAATACCTTGTAAACATTTGAAAAAAAATTAAAAAACAAAACCTGTGTTGAAATGTCCCGTGTGAGTTAGCAGCCCCACATAAGGGAAGCTGATGGTACTTTTTGCAGTCTAGGCATAGAACCTGGATTCCAAACCATAGAATTAAAAATTAGCCTTTGTGAATAAACATGCCAACAGCTTTGAGGTGCTTAACACACACAAGAGAACCGGGTCTTCTGTTTCTTCCACCAAGAGAAGTGTCTCATGTAAAGGTACTGAGGCGCTGTTCATTACTGGGTATACCATTAACATTTTTTTTAATTTGACTGTTTCGGTTAGACCTGGGCAGATGGAGAGACAAGGTTTGAGCTTTGCCCACTGGAGGGGTTGCTGTGACCCGTGAATTTAAAGCTTGCTCTCCCCACCGCACATCTTAATCCTGGACAGTCTTTTGTTTATTTCAGAAAGCTATTTCAGGCATAAAATGAGAAACGACAGGGAGGGCCAATTATTTTACATAAATACAAAGTGGTATATACTTTTCCTTACCACCTAAGGACAGAAATGTAGAGTTGTATTCTTCTTAAACTGGCTTTTATATAAGATATTTACAGCACTGCAAATTCTCCCAGGGAAAGCCTTTGCCATTTAAAATGTTTAGAACACAGTAGTGGCTGTGGGTTTTTTTACTTTTCAAAAATATTTTTAGTAAAATAAAAAAGCATTCATAGCATTTGTCAATTCTCATCTTGGATTTAACTGTGTTGTGGTAAGAAAGCATCACAATTTCAGTTCCTGTCAGTCTTTGCTGTGTTTCCAGAAGTTATTCACAATTTAGAATTTCAGAGTCTGTGTGTTTGTTTCACTGGTTTATAAAGTGCTAGTTCAAAACACAGTTCAGTCTCAGATAATATTAGTGTGTTCTACTATATATGATAAATATAGATTCACTATGATAAATGTAAAATATCCATATAATACAATAAATAAATAAATAAAGCCACTATTAACAAATCATCTGTCAGTTCTGGAAAAAAATCCCACTCTTACTGTAAGGCTCAGTTATTGTTTTGGAAATAATTTATGAAGGCATGCGCCTACCTTTACAATCTGAAAACTGCTTGGAACAGTTTTAGCACCTGTTTGTATACAGCAGACTCAACCTCTCATTTCCTTCCTGGAAAGTTTTGATTTTTAAGTGAAGCTGTTCACTGTTGATTCTTTGTCCTATTTTTTCATTATAAGGTCCTAAGATAAATGAGTTTCAAAAATGATTTTGGAGCCAGACATCTCCCTTGTGGCTCTTCATGTGTCCCTGTTTGACTATCAATAACTAGAATATAAACTGGAATGCATTTGAAAGTCCTCATAATTGTTCAAAAGCAGCAGAGGGCTCTCACAACATCTCGGTCTCACAGATTTTAATTTCTTAACATCAAGCCCTAGGGAAACCTCTAGCACTGGCGATAAGAACATCAGGTTGGATGTTGTCCATTGTGCGTGATGGGCTGGATCTTCTCTAGAGAGACATCAGTATCATAGTCCAATATGACTGACAAGGCCGGAGACAGCTTCTCCAGTGGTTTGGTTATTCCACCTGCCTCCTCCTTTTTCAGGTCCTCAGAGGAGCCCACAGCATGAGGGATCAGGTAAACCAGATTGCACTCCTTGGAGATGGAGCCTCTTGGTTCATGGTGGCTGGAAAACACCACAGCCCCATTGTTATTGATGCTAACTGTCTCTATGGCATTATTCGTTGTAGGGCAAAGTCTGTAGCATCCTAAGAGGGTTGAAAATGCCTTCTGAAAATCAGCATTAAAGGCATAAATGATAGGATTCAAGGAGGAATTAGCCCACCCAAACCACACAAACACATCAAAGGTGATAGAATCGATGCAGAATGGCTGGGTTTCCCCAGACCCACAGAAGGGTACCATACAGTTGGAGATGAAAAAAGGAAGCCAGCAGCACACGAACACCCCCATGATCACAGACAGAGTCTTCAGAACTTTAGTCTCTCTTTTGAAGGACATCTTAAAGGAACTTTCTGATTGTGAGCATTCAACTGGGTTCCCATTACCTGCGGTGGTCTGACAATTCTTAGCATGGACTGCTGCCCTCTCCAAGGCTGAGATGCGCCGGATTTGTTTCTGAGCAATCCTGTAGATACTGGTGTAGGTGACAATCATGATGGCTACAGGGATGTAAAAGCTTATGAGGGAAGATGAAATGGCATATGTCCTGCTCAGCCTGGTGTCACAGTTGTCCTCAGTCTCCTCCAGAGAAGTGGCATTGCCATCCAACGGCCCTGTGGGCTTTGCCTTGTGCCAGCTGAGCTGCACTGGAATGAAGGAGATCAGAACAGACAAAGTCCATGCCACACTAATCAGAATGAAGGCTGCCTTGGGGGTCATCTTCCTCTCATACTGGAAAGGGCTGGAAATAGCCCAATACCTGTCCACGCTGATCACACAGAGGTTAAGGATGGATGCAGTAGAGCACATGATGTCAAAGGCTACCCAGATGTTACAGAAGGACCCAAAGGGCCAAAAGCCAGCAATCTCAGCCACAGCTTTCCAGGGCATGACCAAGACAGCCACCAAGAGATCTGACACAGCTAAGGAGATGACAAAAAAATTGGTCACCTTGGACCGCAGGTGTCGAAACCTGATGACAGCAGCACAGACCAGGGTATTCCCCAAAAGAGTGGACAGGATGAGCAGTGACAGGAAGCAGGCTGTGAGGATGCGGAAGGAGAAGTCCCTCTCTACCACCAGTCCAGCCCCATCCATGGTAGAAGTGTTCAGAGCCATCGTCCAGAAGGAAAACCGTCAGGGTCCCACAGCTCTCAAGTTCCTGAGCAGAGTAAAGGGTCGGCCAGTCCTCACTCACACCCTGACCTTTGTGAAGCTCCAGGTGCTGCCCTGAGTAAAGGACACCAGCATCCCATCAGGAACTTGGTGATCCAAATCATGCCAGTAAAAGGACTCCTTGCTTTCCACAACTGTCTTCAGGGCTTGTTGCTCCATGCCACAGTTGGTTCCTAGATGCCCAAGGAAAGCACTGGCTTTTCAGCATACTCTAAGTCATCAGCTAGAAATTCTCAGGCCTCTGCCTAATCAATCACAGTCACTTTTCAGGGTTGTTGCCTCTTGTGATGCCAAGTAATCCTCCACTTCTCAGACGCAGCCTAAAATACATGTCTTGTTCCTCCAAGCCCTGGCTCCGCAGCAGCACTCCAAATGCCCTAAAAAGCAAAGAAACACACACAGTCCTTCACCGAGACTTGAGCACATCCTGCGTTCAGTTCTGTTAAATCTCATCATTTTCTGGGCAAGTCTATCAAGGCCACCTACCTTGCCTTGGGGTTGACTTTCTCAAAACCCTTGGAGCTCCCACAGTGCGCTTTGCCTGGTGCCGGGCTCCAGGAGGTGCAGGAAGGGCCCCTAGTCCAGCCCGCTGCGCTGGCGTTCTGCTCAGGATATTCAAAAAATCTCTGGACCGAGTTTGGAAAACGAATCCCAGACCTGGCACCCGAGAAGCGGCGCCACCCTGCTCCCTTAATCAGCTAGAGAGTGCTGAAAGCGGGCAGGACCCTGCAAAGGGCCCGGGCTCTCGGAGCCTCCTTGGGAGAGGGCGCCCGGAGGACTGGTCTCTAGGGTAGCCTTCCGTCCTTTCCGCGCGAGCCGCGCGCCCCTCAGGCTGCTTGGCCCTTAGGGACCCAAGCCTCTCTGCAGCGCAGCCCGCTACCTCTCAGTAGCGGCAGGAACAGCAGGCAGGCACGGCGGAGCTGGCACCCGCGAGGGCACGGGCCGGCTGGGTTCCCGGGGCACAGCCCACCCCACCTCCGCGTCCCCTCCCGGCCCTGGGGGCGGGCTGAGCTTGACAGGCAGAGCGGCGGGCGGCAGCCACACGTGGTCCCCTCGATGGTGCTGCAAGAGCAGGGATGGGGGACGCCTGCGTGTTCACTTTGCCCTCACTGGCTACCTCGCCCACCCAGGGGACCCTGGCACCGAGGTAGAGCCCAAGAGACGAATCCTCACGTGCAAATCTCAAGTAAGCCAAACTTCCGTCCCACATTCAGCGCCTCTTCGCGTCAACCCCAAGTTGAACCCAAAGCTCTGGTCAGAGGAGATCCTGCCCACACCCACGCACAGCAAACCACCCGGCAGCTGCCCGCGTCCACCGCGCTGTCTCCAAGTGCCCCGCAACTAGGCTAAGAAGAGGCCCCTTGGAATGCGGGTGCTCACCGCTCTCCGAGGACGCGCTGCGCTGTTTTGCCGAGCGCGGAGTCCAAGGGCGCCGGGTCCCCCTCTGACTACCACTGGCGGGCGCTTCTGGGACTGCGGCCAACACCCGAGCGCAGCCTGTGCCCGGCGCCCCGCAAGCCCCCCAGACGCCGTGCCTAGCTCGATGGGCCGCAGACGCCCTCTGCCGGCACCCGTGGTTTCCTGCACTCGGGCTGGGCGCTAGTAGGTATCGACCTCATTGGCATCAGCCAGGGTACCCACCAGGCTCAGAACCTGGACTCGGTTCTTTCCCGACTGTCAGGATCTGGAAGAGGAGAGACGCGATCTTCCCCACTCAGGCCTCCTCCGCTTGAAATACCCCTTAAAAATTACAAGTGTCTAGAACTTTATTGTTGAAGCAGAATTCCTCCTGTATGCCCGCCGTGTACCAAAGACTGTAGTAACAGGGAGAGCAACATGCCAGCTTACTCTCCAAGTGAACAGAGACCTGGCGTTTACTCAACAGCCTCTGTGCCCAGACACACGCTTTAGGACGTTCACCACCTTGCAAAAATCCTTCCTCACAGGCCTGCGCATTTCTACTTCACCCGTGTGGAAAAGGATGTTCAGAAAAGCATGGGGCCGGCTCAAAATTAACACAGCTAATGAGGAGGAGGAGCCGGCCTGACTGATGCTTGCAGTGCTCTTCGACATAACCACATCTAGATGGAGCCCATAATCTAAACAATTTCCTACAGGGTTATAAAGTGGGGGAAAGCCACGGTGGAATCAGGAACGCCTGGCAATGGATCCCCAACCCCAGGAAATGCTTCACAGGTTCGATGGCACTGGGTGTATAGATGCCCATCATCAGACTGCCTTTCTATGTCTGTGTAACTGTGGGAAGAGACTAAGCATGAGCCTTGGAAGTCATTCTCCCTGGATTCTTATGCCTCCTGATGACAGGATTGTTATAAGTATTAAATGAGATGCTTGTTGCAGAAAGGGTAGGGCACCAAACTTGGTCCAATCAGCCCTTAGTGACAGAAACCCTCCAGGATCATTTTTTTTTTTTTAAATTGTCTTATCTCCGTGAGAACCACACATTACATTCAATGTCAACATTTTCTCTCAATAACCTAAATAACAACTCTGTCTAATTAGCTAGTGCAAATTCTGTCCTGGTTTTAGATGCAGTGCTCATATGACTGACACAAGCTCCTCCACCTGTGCCCACATCTCTGTCTTCCCACTGGCAGCAGCTGTCACACACAAGGTTCCACACTGAGGATTAGACACAAGCCCCATGAACTCCTGTAGAGCCTTAAGCCGTGTTAATGTAACTTCTCCACATCATTTTCCCTGTGACAGTCATCCTCAGGGCCACCAAGAACCTTATTGTGCCCTTCTTTCTTTCCTTTTTATCAGTGAACACAAATCAAGAGCCGTTCCTAGTTCAATCAGTCATGTGAGCCTGCAATTGTAACTCTATACGCACTGCCACTCTGTCATGAAATGTTGCCACTATACCTGAAGTAAATCAAGACAGGGGGAATCCAGCACTTTGGAAAGCACAGGAAACATAGGGATCCTCTGGGACAGATAAATGGAAGGCCGGGTTGCTTACACTGGAAGAAGAAGGACTCCCTAAGGAGGGCAAATGCTTGTCTAGCTAGAGCTTGAGGGAGACAGCCTAACACAGTGACACTTAAGACTGAAGCAACAGGGGCTATGGACTATGAGGCCAATTTGAGGAATTTTCTTCTACTGCCTGCCTTTGAGATGTGTCCCCAAGCCAACAACCCTGGGAATGACCACTGCTCTTTGCATTAAAACCAAAATGACAACCATAAGACACGTGAGGTTCAGGTGGCCTAACACTGCCTGAAACACCAGTGCCACACAAAAGCTCCATATGAAATGGGAGGAAAGGCCATGCGCAGCACACTGAATGGCTTCAGCTTCCCTTAGCATCTAAAAGAGATCTCTTGGGCTAGAGTGATGGCTCAGAGGTTAAGAGCACTGACTGCTCTTGCAGAGGACTCAGGTTCGATTCCCAGCACCCACGTGGAGGTTAACAAACATTCATAACTCCAGTTCCAGGGGATCCGATGCCCTCTTTTGACCTCCATGGGCAATGCATGACACAGGTGCACTTACACACATGTAGGGAATACATTCATACACATAAAATAAAAATAATAAAAATAAGATTTAAAAAATAAAGAGATTGCTCTTTGATTGAAAACTCCTCTAAATTGTGCAAACCAGCCCATATTAGTCTTCACCTTTTTCTCTCTACTCATTTCTCTGATTGGTTGAGATGATAATCTCACGATATTTCTCTACCACAAGAACATGTCCGCCATCCTCACTGTCAGAGCATCCAATCATCTTCTTGCCTATGCCATACAAAAATAACCCAGAAAACCAGCCTGAACATAGAAAATCCTTGTAAACAAATAGATAAAAGAAGAGGAACCAATGTTTGCATAAAGGGATAATTTTGTTTCTCAGCAGAAGTGTGGAAGGTTGTTTCCCTGGTTCTGTAATTCAAAAACTGACACCTGAGACATTTTCTGCCAGACTTAGTTCACTGGCCTTTGAATGCAACCGCTAGGAGAACAGGAAAGAGTAAAAGTAGCTGAAATCTCGGGATTCCACCATGCACAAAGTGTGAAGTTCAGAGGAACTCGCTATTTGGCTGTAGGCTTGGGTTTTTGTTTTTGTTTTTGTTTTTTTCCCTCCCTTGAAGTCAAGGTAAATGAAACCTTCCATTTTGTTCTAGAAAAATCTCTCCTAAAAACATCAAGAACATAAATATAAATGCAAGCAGATACTAGCATTAGATGCTGGGGGTACAGACCCAAATTCACAAGCACCTCTGCTTCCAGTGACGTGTCTTTTTAGCTTTCCTGTGATTTATGCACTGCCAGGAGGTAGAGGTTAGAATGATGCTTTCAACAGATTTTTATTTTAGGTTTGTAAAAGTCAGTGAATACAGAAGGCACTGTCAGACAACTGAACTGTCAAGTGTTACCAAATGACACATGCAGGAAGCTTTAACATGATTAAAAGTAACGTCATACCCAAAATGATTGTTTACAATGTTAGTGAAGACAGATGGGGCTTGACCCTCAGTAAATAGTCAGAATGCTGCTGCAGACTGTGACTACTACTCTCAAATTCCAAACCTTGGGTCATATTTTCCTCTTCTGTAGTTATTATTCAATTTAAAAACAACAGTCACAACTCTGCACGTCACTTTGGGTAGGGTTGGCAGGTGGAGTGATCCACACATGGTGGTTTTCTAGGGGGTCATTTCTTTTCCTTTTCTATAGGGTTTGGGGGTTGGTTTTAGATTTTGTTTTGGTTTTTGAGGTTGGTTTCGGGGGGTTGGTTTTGGATTTTGTTTTGGTTTTTGAGGTGCTGGAGAATCTCTTGCATGCAAAGACGCTGCCACTGAGCTGTACTTCAGACCGTGAGTACTTTTGTAATTCCATTTTATCTCCTTTATCACTTTTTTCCTATAATTCCTTGTTGTTTTCATGATGCTTCAGAGTTTGCATCACACAGGCGGATTCACAGATACACATCTTTTTATAGCCTACCTTCAACTGATCCATCATTCCATGCATATGAAAGAACAATGCGATGACATTCTTCCAAGTCACCCTACATGCTTATTTTAAAGGAAATTTAAATGATAAATAAATCTACATTTACTATATACTACTTCTAGTCCTCTTCCTCCTTTTCTGTAGTTCTTCATTTCCATTTCATTTCAGTTTCTACTACGGGCAGATCTTGCAGCTCGAGTCTGCTGGTAGTAGGCTTCTTCACCTTTTGTATCTCTAAAAAAAAGCCTTTGCCTTCATTTGTGGAAGGTACTTTTGTTAGGTATAGAACTTGAGATTGACAGTCCACAGCCACTCCACCCTGAACACACCCAGTCTTATCTGAATTCCAGAATTTTTTCTTTTAATTCTTCTTGTTTAGATTGCTTCCAGTGAGAAATCTGCTTTTACTGCTTTTACTGCCCCTGGGCGGCATACAACATAGCCACACACTGTCACCACCTCCACAACCCCCACACTGGGTTGCTCATAAGATTCTTTTTATCCTGATTTAGAGCAATCTAATCAAGGTGTGTCTTAGTGTATTCATCATTATCATCATACTGTGTTTGGTAATTGTTGAAATTTGGGGGTCCATAATTTTCTCAAACTTGGGTCATAATTTCTTTCACCTCTTCTCATTTTTCTGTCCATTGAGTTCTCCAATTGCAAGTACTTAAGGCTGGCCTCAACTCCCTAATTCCTCTCTTTGCTCTCTACTTCAATTTGGGCAGTTTCTTTGACTAATTCTTTCTGTTAGCTAATATTTTCCTTTTGCTACATGTAATTTGTTAATTTCACGTGGTATATTTTTCATCTTACATTTGTAGTTTTCTTCTCTGGAAGTTCATTTGTATCTAAAATCTATGAAATTTATCCATAACTACTCTAGTGTTCTTTCTTGCTGAGTCTAACCTCTGTATCAGGTCAGTTAACTTTTA